GGCTTGGAAGTGTTGGTGGGGTTGGCCAGGCATGAGCAGCACAATGCTCAGCTGGACAGAAACATCTCCTCCTCCTCCTGCTCACAGAGAATGCTTGGGAGCCTTGAAGTGTTAATTACTTTACAGCCTCCTGCCATAAGCAATTAAATGTTTGCTTTTCTTCTGTTTAAAGGGATAAGAATGTGAAACTGAATCTGAGACACACAGGAAGATGCTGATTCCTGAGCAGAACTCCTACAGACAAACAGAACCAAGTGTACTTTGGTCTTTAAGATGGGAAAACTGAGGCCCAGAACAGTTCAGTGACATTAAGCTCCATCCAGCTTTGCTAAACTCAGGCTGAGGTTTGTGGTATATTGAAAGCATACCCAGCTACTGAATCATAGGTCTGAGTCCTTTGCTAATAGAAATGTTGCTAGATGCTTGCAGGAATTTTTAATTTACAAAATAGGAAAGAAACCATAATTCATTCTCATGGTTACTTACACTGCCCTTCCTGTTCAACAGAAAAAGCGTCCCTGCTTCTTTCCTTTACATGGATAACCACATTATGGATATCTTTGGCTAGAATGTTTAGATATATTAAATACTAGGAGTCCAAACCTTTGGGTTGCAAGCCCAGCTTTGCAAATGGAAGACAGTTTGTCAGCTGGGAGGTTGCAGTAGGATTGTGAGCAAAACTGACTGTGAATTTCTTACTTCACATGAACACATAAATACATACCTCAAAAAAAAATACATACCTCAAAACCAACAGAAATGAATGAATACCTCTTAAAAGATGGTATTCTTTTATTTATGAAAATATTAAACCATGTTTATATGATAGGATAATCAAACTGAACTGGAACCTTAACACTTGAAAATTTGTATCTGTGATGCAGCTGCAGGGAGTTAAAATCACTCTTGAGTGACTGGATATGTTTCTTCTGCTTTCCTCCATTTCTTTTAGGCCTTAATTAGAGCCAGATGTTTCTTATTTCCTTTCTTTTTTTTTGTTTTCAAGTGTGCACAAAGCATGGTGCCAGCAGTAAACACCATCGTTGACTTTTTCTTGTGTGTCGACTGCATCTGAGTCAGAGTCACAGACCAGTAAAATTCCAGCAAAGCAGTGCAAGCTTTCAGTCCTACCATCATTCCCACTGGAAGATTGGGATTCCTGCGGCCCCGGAGCCATGAAAGTGCCAGCACGTGTCTGAGAGCCCTAAATGCCAAGGCAGGAGCTGCAGCTGCACACACGGACACGGCTGCCCCTCCCGTGCTCTGCAGAGAGCTGGGGGACAGTTCTTGGTGTTTATTCACTGCTCAGCTCTATGGACCCACAGCCTGATCTCCACTTCTGCCTCCTGCTCCTTGGAGCCACGGCATGCAGGAGAAGCATTTCTGCTCCAGTTTCATGCCTTTGTTGTACCCTTGCATTGATCTCTCAGCTGGCATCTCCAGCAGAGTGTCAGTAAATGGCAGAGCCTAGAGGTGAGAGCTTCCCTTTCCAAGCTAAATTGCTTAATATTGCTGTAATATTTATAATTATGGTCTTCATCTACTTTTCTAAATGTATTTTCATTCTAAGAAGCATATCAAATCTAGAGATCCAGTTACCTAGCAAAGAGATAGAAATTAGTGTTCAAAAAAAGTCATCTGAGGACAAGTTATTCCTTATTTGACAAATATTTTGAGCAAGCACGTATTGTACCTAGAATAGATTTTAAGGACAAATTTTCCAGAAGTTTTCTGGTTGTCTTTCTCCCTTTTAACAGATGTGCTCTTTGTTACTTAGTCCTTGGGAGTCAGGCTCCTTTCCACCACTGCACATGCTGAAGGTCTTTTTGGATAAAAACTGTTCTGTTTTCTTCCCCCAAGTTCTGTACCAGCAACCCCCACCCCAGCTGCTGTTTGGAGGAAGTGAAACATTTTGGGGAAGAGTACCTGATTAAGGCACCTGATCCACAGAAGTTTTTTAGTGCCTAAGTTTTAAGGATGAGTGAACCTGGAGGATCCAAATTCCTTGCTGTCATAGTTGCCCTTCGTTCATGCTGTATTTAGTTACAAGGGGAAAATAATTTAAATAATACATTTAAATAATACATTTAAATAATACGTTTAAATAATTTAAATAGAACAAACATCACAGTTTCTAATGACAAGGCAGTACTGACCTTTCTTGAATTAAAGTGCAACTTGTTCAAATGTCTGGATGTGTTATGAGAGTAACTTGTTTATCCCACCCCATCCCATCCCATAAATGGTTATATTTTTTCCCCTGAAAACATGACAGACATCTTACATGAATAAATCAATTTTATTTAAATAAAATTACAGGTGTATTTTGTCTAGTAAAAACTAACATATAGTTTTTCAAAGGCACCAATATTCTAAAATAATTTAAATTTTCTTGAGAGCAGCTTCCTTTTTCTGAGTGGTGTTTATAAACTTGTTGGACTTCCCTCATTCAACTCGGGCAATACCTGCTGCTTGTGAAATGATGAAGGTTGTACCTTTTTCACTGCAATAGGTGCCCTACTGTTCCTGGGCATCTCTTCTGGACACAGGAGGACGTGTCAGGTGCTCCACGTAGCAAAACCCCACTCAGAAATGGGGTGTTCCTTGCCTTTGTACACTTGTCAGGCACAAAGCCCCACAAGGACACTCAGTTTGCATGTACTTTAAGTATTCAAATTAAATTTTAAAACTACTGTTTCTTTGAGGCTTCAGGATCTGTTTTCCCTTGCATTTCTCCAAGCTAGATAATGCAATGCCACCTTTTCTAATGTGAAGAGAGAGCCTTGTGCACAAAGCCTGCCCTGCTTTGTGTCACAGCCTGCACCAGCCTCCAGTCTGGGCTTTTTTAGAGGTGTCTTTGCTAAGCGTGGCTGCACCAGAACCAGCAGACGTGTGCTGGGTGCATTCATCCAGCTCTGTCACCACTTACAGGAGATTCAAGCAGGGGCACAGGGGGATGTGCAGGTGACACCTCTCAGCAGCCCAAATCCTGCTCAGATTTTCACCAGACCCAGCTCTACAGCTGGACCAGGACAGAGGCAGAGCCCCCAGCAGCAGCCCCTCTCTGGCCAAGGAGTCCAAGTACTGTCACTTTTCTTCTGTAAAAGCAGGGGGTTGCTTTCAAAAGGAGATTTTGCTAAGCACCTTCCGTATGCACAGCTCACCCATGTGGTTCACTTCATCAATTGATTTTGGCTTATTGTGACAGATTTTGGAATAATCCCCAAGTTCTCTTTGATTCACAACCATCATCTTCTCTGCCCAGTATACAGAAGCTTTGTAGCTCAACCATTCTGACAGGAAAAAGGATCTGCCCTTTGAAAGAAATCCCCACAATTTAGAGACAGCAGTGATGTGGTGCAGTGAAGGTAAGATCATATCAGGGATAACATTTGGCAAATGCATCTCTGCTGCAATCAACAGGCAAGCTCCTCAGGGAAGCCATGGATCTTCCTTCTCCAGTAAATCTGATTCTAATGGAACCACAGTAATCAAACTCAACTCTTAGATTTGCAGAGTGGACAAAATAGAAATATTTCAGAGTTTATAGTAAGACTACTGTAAAGCTGAGACACAAAGCTACAAATATACCATACCAATACCTATCTTACAAGAATGTCCCGAGACAGGCTTTACTAAAGTTTGCCAAAATCTCCAGGAGCCTTCAGAGAAAGACATTGACAAAGGGCCAACAATAGCTAAGAAAAGCAGTGATCTTTGGCTAGCAATGTGCAATTTCCTCCTTGACATTTGTAAATGTAGAAATGTATGTGAGCCAACTACTCTTGCTTTCCAAACAAGATTCATCTGGATAATTTGACACCTGGTTACAGGTGTTACTTCACAATACTTGGCAAACATCTAAAATAATTTGTAAAATTGCCAGCTGAAGTCTTCTAAGAAGACATACAAAAGCTCAGGCAGTTTATTGTGCTTTTCATCTTGCTTGGGTTATCTCTTTAGTTTAGAGATACGGCACCCTAATATTTGCATGGTATTAAATGTATTTATCAAGAAAAGCAGTGAAGAAATTTGCATTGTTCCTGCCTGTGAGAAGCAAAGTCGTTTCTAATGATCTCCTTCAGAATAAACAACACCACTGACTTTGAAAAGGCACTGACAGACTAAAATACAGCATTAACTGAACTGCATTTGCAGCTAAGAAAGGGGAGGTAAAAGGGGAGATAAAAGGTAGATCTTAAAAGTGAAATAAATATTTATGTTGCATTGAAGGTAAAGTAGTTTTAGAAAAAACCTGTAAGGATTTTTTGGGTCTTGGGATCCCTTTGAGGTACAAACTATTTTATTAACTAGTTTTTTTTAAGCAATCAGTTTGCTGCCATTGGCCATGAACACTATGCTTTTCACTGGATCAGTTTGCATGGAGAAAATAAATGCGGTGTCATTAATTAGAAGTGGTGTTAGTTTTTAATTCCCTCCTTGGTGTTGGTAGCTGGGTATGGAGCTACCAAGAAGGAAACATCTGCCCTCCCACAGCTCCCTGTGCACACTGTGCAGGCTGCCTGGTGGCTGAAGGAGTGATACAGGAAAGGGATGAAAACATCTCATCCCGCCCACAGAGCAGAGTTACCCACTCCTGGCTCCGGTGTCTGCTCTGAATCCTGCAGAAACCCACCCAACTCTAGCCAAGGAAAGGAAACAGCTTTGGGAAAGAAACTGGTTTTGCAGTTCGGTGCTGCCTGACTGGCCACCCCTTTCTGGAAAAGGAATTGTTCCAGCATCAGGAGAAGGCAGAGTCACCCCCACTGCCTGGAGAAGCCAAAGCAGAGCAGACAGACAAGAGTGCCCAGGCACCAGCACGAGCAGCCACTCTGGGGCTGATCAGCACACACCTTTGGCTCTCCTCTGTGCAGGTGAGCACACTGCACACCTCTGCTCCTGCCTTTCCTCCAGTGAGCCGCTCAGCGGGCTCCCAGGGAGAGGATTTTCTGCTTGACATAAACCACAAGCAGAGACACAAAGGTGCTACACAAGACAGCTGCAAGACTGAGGTTTCTTTATCTTGTTCTACTGTGATCCAGGTCTGCACACTTATTTATCCACAGGCACTTGCAGGACAACCAACACACATATTTAGACACCCTGATTAAGGAAACTTCATGTCCAGCAGCGGCTGAAAAACGTTTTGCTGAGCTTTTAATAAGGCAAACATAAAAACTTCATTGTGCCACCTCATCCATGACAAGTCTGTCTAATACTAGTCTGATTTTCTGTGAAGCATGTGATAAACAAGTAACTAGTGCAACAACCATGAACCAATATCTATCTTACCCTTCACAAAAAAAAAATTCTGTGTAGATGTAGACATCACAGAGGATTGATATTTGCAAAGCAGGTCATAATAAAAAATTAATAAGATGGCAAAAAATGTAGAAATGAGGTATCAATTAGCCTAATGGTTGGAGTGGGCAAACTGGTCAAGCCATACTCATTCTAAATTTCTTCTTCTGACTCATGATCTCGTTCAGACGTTTTCAGTAAACCCATTTCCATGGGCTGGGACTGCTTCACCTTCGAACGGACCGCCCTGGAAACAACAACAACAAAGCTGTCAGTGCTAACTCAAAGGTTCTTCTGACCATTCTTTGCATGATAAAATCCTGTTTAACTCTTGTGTTAGCTCATCAGCGAGTTAGGATGACCCTATGGTTAGGAAGTGCTGCCGTTACTGTGCATCCTGCCTGTACAGCCTGTGTGCACTTGTCCTATGGACTCATCCCAGAGCACTTCAAGCAAGCCTCAGTGAACCCTCCAGGAGCTTCAGTGTGCTGCGGGCACTGTGCTCACTGGGGAAGGGACCATAAAGCTGTGAGAAAAGGAGAGGCTGGCCAAAGCACCCCCAGAGGGGAGCTCTGCTCCTCTGTGGCCTCACCCGATGCTCAGCAGCCCCTGGTCCCAGCCTCAGAAGGGACATGACACTGCTGCCACTTCCCAAGAGCTGCCCCTCTGTACAGCAAGGCAGCCACCCAGCCTTTCAGACTGAGGTGCAAAAAGAACTGGCACCTCAGTGCAAATCAAGGCTGGAAGAACCATGTCTTTAACATGATTAATAGGGCTATTAGGATGGTGGGGATAAAGCAAGGGGTGAGAAGCATTTTAGGACACTGCAGGAAAAGGCTTGGTAAGGTCCCGTGGACAGAAGGTGATCACATTCTGTGATCTGATGGCAGAGGCATTTTTACAGCCAAATTAACACTGAAGTTGGAATGTTGTCAGAATTAGCACTGGGCAGGGGGGGAAAGGGTTAACTTTAGACATTAGGGAGTGAAAAAGAAATCACGTTTGATGACAGGAAATTTCTAGCAAGGAATTCTGTGTAATAATCTTCACAGTAAAGTCATGAAGCCTGCTCTCTGAGCCACTTAAAAATAGCAGAAATGAGCAGTGGGCGACAAGATTCTGCAGGTAAAAAAATCTCCTACTTCTGACTTTATATGGACTTACAAATGTGGAAATTATTGGCACTCATTTTATGTGAGAAGTATTATGCTGTGCTATCAGAGCTGCATTTATGGATGTGTTTTTCCCTTTTCTACTGAAGCAATGTCATGTGCTTTTCATTGATTACTAATAACTATTTTTATTTTACCTTGCAAGACAACTTCTTACTTCATAGAAACATTTGTCAGTGAAATTTTTCTGAAATAAACCTCCCACTAGAATACACAGACAAGTCACCAAAGTTTTAGTGCTTCAAGTAACTTACCAGCTGACAATTGTGTAATTCACTGCAAGTATAAGAAAAGCAAAAGCATAATGCCAGCAATAGCACATGGTCAGGAACATCATGTTAGTGTGATCTGTTTGATTCCACTCTGGGCTTCCATTTGGAGGATAAAGTACAAAGCCAATCTGTAGTAAAAGAAAAGAGATTTAGTACATGTCATTTGATGAGCATCCTGTGCCATATCCTGTTTCATGCTACCCATCACAAAGCAGACATTTAATTTTCTTATGGTGTTGCTTATTTCTGTGTTTACTATTAAACCAATTCTGCAGTCAATCTCAGGTGTGATGGATCACTTTAAACAGCTCTGTGCAGAAATGCCTTTGAAGATAAAGTGCCAGCCCCAGAGAGCCATTGCTCTTGCCCAGAAAATTCAGGAGCCTGCCCAATAGCCCAGGCCTGCAACAATCACAATTCTGCACTGTAGGAGAGGGGCTGGTGCTCAGCCCTGTGTGCTCTGAACTGGAATCACTGATGGAGCAGGAAACCTGCCTGGCCATTGCCATTGCCTCCCTTCTTCCCAGCACGTCTGGGCACGGACTCCGTGGCTGGGGAGATGAATAATCAATGAACAAATAAAGGGGAGCCACAATTCTATTTCTGCTGGGCCATCCAAGGGAAGGGCCAGAAACGGCATAAAAATGGAGCTTCCTCATGCAAGACTGTAAGTTCATGTGAAATACATAGCTGATTTCTTTATTCAGAGCTGGGAAAGATCAAATTCACATTTGTGCATAAAATGGGAAAATGTTTAATTCTGTGGCTATGCAGGGTTTGCCTGACAAACACTCAGCTTTGTACTGCTTAATACTATTCAAAGCCATCACTCAGCAGTTTAGCTGAGAATTTAGAAACTGGGAAGAAGAGAGGAAGAAGGAGGGGAGAGAATTTTGCATTTCCATGCAGAGAATTCAATGAATGAAGGTGTTGATGATGCAGAAAGAAAGTCCCTTTACCTTTTACAAATTCCTGTGCTGCAGCCAGCATGTGGTTTTCAGTCACACAGATGGTTGAAGTCTGATGCAAGTGTGAAAAAAGCCACACTTAATTTTTTTCTATTTTTAGTACTTTTACTTTGAAACAATCCCCACATTGTGTCTAGAGCTAAAGAAATAATCTGTTCTAAAATTCGACTAGGCAGAAAACCATGAATAAATTGTTGCATCTATTCCTCCTATGTAAAGCTTTTAAATCACTGGCTAGAAGTTTGCAGACAAGAAAATAAAGCAAGAAAAGAAACCAGCGAGTGCTGCAGCATCACATTCTTGAGTTCACTTATAGAAAAATACAGCCAGTTCTGAGGTCTGTCTTCATGCCAGAGCAAGCATTTAAATATTTGATTTGGTGCTGAGTGTCCAGTTCTCCTAAGAAACAGCAAACATTTTTATTCATGGTGCCTGGCTAGCATAGAAAAAAGGGAAGCCAGTCTAGACATGCCGGAAAGAAAAATCATTGGAGTGACCTCAATTCCCCACTATAAGATGAAACATCAGCACCAGGGCTCCTATTTCTGCTGCAAACTCCCAGCAGCTCCTGAAGTCTCTCTTGTTCCTACAGCAGAGAAAGAGTTGCTGCCAAATCTCAGTTACTGGATAGACTCCCAAGAAGGTGAGGGCATGCAAGCTACCTTTGAGGAGTCCTTTCAGGAGCCACACCCCTGAAATATCAAAGTTTTGGCTGTTCTTTTTTCTGCTCAGCTCCCAGAGCGCTGAAAAGCAGGAGGTTTACATCACCCTGTCTCCTTCTGTAACTTCAGCACCTTTTGAACCTGGCAATGTCCGTGAGGCTTTGCCTCACCTGCCCAGTGCTAAACTGGGTGTCCACTCACTGCCCCAGCAGCTGACAGGGGAGACTCTCTTTGTAAAGAACAACAGGCATGGCCATGCTCTAAAATCACTGCCGCTTGCCTGGCAAAATTGGAACAGGATGTTACAGCAATCAGAGCTCTGTGACACGGAGAGTTCAAGAAAAACACTTCAGCTCCTTTATTGATTCTAATAAAAGGCACTTGCAGTAAAACAGTTGCTGCTTCTTCTTCTGTAAAATGGCTATGAGAAATACTTTTTTCTCTTAAAATGAATATTTTTTTTCTGTATCTCTTTAAAGGAATTTATTTTCTGTAAGTCTTTTGAGGTCTGTGTTTAAAAGGCATATATATAACCTGTGAAACATCTGGAAAGGGTTAAGTGAGTAATTTTGTTGAGGAAGAAATTACAAAGGCAGAAATGTGACCTACCTGCCAGAACCAGCTGCCTTGTAATATGCAGAGGCTTGTACGGAGCATCTCTAGCACGATACTGCCACGGAAAAAAACTTCCAAAAATATGCAGGCAGCAGCTCCAAAGATAGCAAATAGCAGTAACTGATGAACGTGAACATCCAGCATGGCTCTCCCATGAAGGTGGTAGCAGAAGAGAAAACCTGGAATAAATTTTGATCCGTTTCAGATCATTTCTTCCCTTGTAATTTCCCTGCATCTGCTTTTAGCAAACATTTCTGGCATTTCTCTTGATGGCAGTATCACCTCACTCAGGCTGGCCTCAGCTAACCAGCTGTGTGCCATGCCAGTGCTACATCAAACACATGCCTGAGCTACTGAGCACGTGCCCAAAGCAGGCTTTTGCTGCTATTTCCATGACATTTGCTGTCTGAGCAGGCAGGAAAGCTAAGATCCGCTCTGCAACGTGGGATCGTGACCTGGGCAGTGTAAGCAGGGCCAAGGGTGATCTTTTTGTGATTCTTTGAAGTGCCTCGGGGAGCGGGAGGCCCGGCTCCCAGAGGGTCACTGGGAAAGGCTGATTTGAGATGCCCAGGCCAGCGGTCAATAGCCATCCGCAGGATTCCTGCCCATCCCTGCAGGGAGAGGCAAATACCCTCAGTGAAGACTGCTAGGGACAGCACCATCCTGTCCACGGCCGCGGGCAGCGCGCTGGTGCCGTGAGCCACGGCGTCCACCAGCCCCGAAATGCCGTAGAACAGGTACATGGTGGCGTGCTGCCAGTTCATCAGGTGGTCCCAGTGCTTCTTCTCGTAGTTGTACAGCTTCAGATGAGGCCCATCGGGAACAAACTGCTCAGCCACCATCCCTGTGATGAAAGAAGAGAAACTCTTTCTTCTGGTACTTAAGGTATACACTGATGACAAATCTTTACACAAACAGTAGAGGCAGCAATACATCCCCAGGCAGCATAATGCCAACAAGCCTGAGGGTTTAGCATCACGTAATCTGGAGAGTGGAGAGCCAGGGGAAATCAGGCTTCAGCTCCACTCCTGGTGGAAATATTTGCATCTTGCAGTTTCCAGCAGTGAAAATGAAAACAGCCATTCTCTGCTGCTTTTCCTTCTTTTAAACAATTGCTATTGTAGCAGTCCTCTGACCACGTTTTTCAGCTGCCTTTTCCAATGGTTCAAACATGAGCATAACACACACTAAAGTCTCCAAAAGAAAGATTTACCATTTCAGTGCCCTGCCACGTGCAGGATGACAGAGTTTAGACTCATAATTCAAAGGGGATTTTTCCTCTAAAGCCATAAAAGGAAACCACTCCACTATGCAGAGCTATTAAAAGTCCCGTGAGAATGTACATGGAGTTAGTATTTGAATCACTGCTTCACTCTCTCCCTTACCTTGGCCTCTCAGTGTCTTGCTTACTAGCTGAGGTTCTCCAGCAAGGGAAAACTGCTTTTAAATTCTTTATATGATCAATGAAATTTGGGGAGAGCTTAAAAGTTGTTCTACTTTTAAATAATTAAAACTGATTATATTGTTTATAAAGCATAGGCCAGCATCCTGCTGTATAAGTAGGTATGCTGTACTGCAAATGCAGTGTTGTTCCACCTTTATTTCCAGTTTTCCTAACATGGAAACAGCAGGTTTTACTCCTGTTGCCTTTACTGGCTGTCTTAGCCAAGTGGTTTTTCCATACTTTCAATTTGAATCAGAATTCACATATGTTGAAATAATAGCTTGTGGTTTCAAAGTGAATATAAAAACAGTAGATTGATGTTTTACCAGCCAAACTCCCTCTAGATACAGACTGGGAGATTTGTAAGAAAGACGTCCACAGTCATGCCTCAAAATGAATGCTAATATTTAGATTTTTATCATTTTTTTTAATGATAAAACTGTAGACACAACATCCCTTTGGTATCTTAACAGAGAGGAAGGAAAAGCAAGAACAAGGCTTTGTCACAGTCTGCACCTTGATTAGAAGTGAGTCAACTCTGGGCATCTAAAGAAGAGCAGACAAATAGAATGTAGAAGTGTAAAAATGCTTAAAATTTAGAGATTTTTCAACTTGAGCCTCAGGAGCTGAGTTCCTCAGATCCCCTGTTGTTTAGTTTACTTACCTTCTAAAGCTAAATCGCCACCACACAGCCTGCCAGGAAGCAAACAAGAACTAAACACTTCCAGTCAGCTACAGGTTCCCAAAGGTTCCCAAAACCTTCCCAGTGGGTTTGTACCCAGGCCTGGACACAGCAGAAGGACAAAGTGCTCCCCCACACCCCAAAAACAGCCCTGCAGCCATAAGATCTGGAGTTCGGTCTCTTTGTGTGAATATTTTCACTTTTGACTGAGATTAATAAAAATTCATCTGCGTCATTTACATATTTTACCAATAAATCAGGGAAGGCTTCCAGCATCTGAGATGGCTGAATTCAAAACAGAAAAGCAACACCTCCACAGCCTGGTGCTGCCAGCGTGCACGTGAGCCCCTTGGCCCAGCATCTTCTCTCTGTCCCTGAGCAGTGAGAGGTGCATGGACACCGAGACGTGGGCAGGGGTGGGCAGGGGTGGGCAGGGGTGGGCACAGGAGTGGGCAGGGGTGGGCAGGGGTGGGCAGGGGTGGGCAGGAGTGGGCAGGAGACCTCACAGAAGCTCCAGGAGAGCATCAGGGATGGAAACCCTGCCATGGCCTCAGCCGTGCCATTAACAGCAGCAGCCCCACCGCCTCTCGGTGGTTCACAGGAAAAAGAGCAGGACACAAGGAGACCCATTTTATCAGAGAGCAAAATTTAAAGCAAGAAGTGTTGGAAGGTGCAGCCTGCCCCTAGCCCAGGGCACTTACCAATGAGGGCAAAGAGAGCTTTGATGATGCCCTCCACGAACTCCAGGCGCTGGAAGCCTGCCCTGGAGCCGAGGTAGCAAGCGTTCTTGTTTTTTCTGCAGGCGTACTTCAGTGGGTACTTCACTGACCACCACAAGCCAAAAAGAAGGAAAAAGCTCCCAGGGAGGGCGTGCCCTTTGAAATTGCCCATGGTTTTCTGATAGGCAATACCTGAGGGAGAAGCAAACAGAGACCGATTATGGGAATAGCAGGAGAATTCTGTGGGTTATAATTTTATAGTATCTCCTTGCATAGATCAAGCTGCTGTCACTGAATTGAGTACTCACAGTTAATTTAAAAGTAAATTTGGGTACTTCTCTTCCCAGCCAGTCTCCCCTGTTTCATAGTTTTGCAGAGCAGCTGATCTGAAATGCAGAGCTGGCAGTCAGCAGGGTAGGAGAAGGAAAAGCCATAGCACACTATGTCTTGTTGTAGAAGTTGTGCTAGCAAAAGAGAGAACCTGAATGTTCACTGTTTGGTGCTCTCCCCTTTAGAGAGAACTTTATATTTTTTTCCTTTATGAAAGAAAACCAAGTCAATACCTGACTGAAGGAAAACTGAATTGCATACCTATAAAATGAGTAAATATTTACTAGCAAATTGTATTTTTTTATTTCAATCCAGATGTTTTGTTATGATTTACAAACATGAAGTAATTCTATTATTTTGTGGGTGAATTATGCACCCACCACTAGATACCTATTATCAAGTGCATCAAGTGCACTGTGTGACAAGGCTATTGCTTGGTCAGGATTATATAGTCATTTAAAAACAGTGCCATTCATAATTCTGGTCATCATCCCAACATTTGGAATAGTTGGCTTTGAGCCAGAGGCTTCTTCATTAAAATGACGGTTCTAACATTAAATTGCAATTTTTCTTTAAGATACTCTAAACTGAGTTATTGTGCCTCATGCCCTGAAGGAATACTGAGTCTCTGCACAGGCAGCAATCAAGAATAACCACTTTAGAAGGATTGGCAGTCTGTACTTTCTGTTATTATTGTTGCTGACTTAGAAGTTCAATTGCCACACTGCACTGGAGCTCTCTGGCTATGAGCGGAACATGGAAGCTCTGGTATATTTTTCTTTTCTGTAAGTATTTCCTATGGTCAGCTCTGCATAAGAAATTTTAAACTGCAGCTTCTGGGCCATGGAGTACTTGCAGCTGGTTCACATAAGGCTGTCTAGTCACGTAGTGTGAGCCCTCTCCTATTTCTGGAGGCTAAACTCCACTGAAAGTTTTACTCTTTTTTCTTTTTTTTAAGAGGAGAAACTTCTCCACATGCACAGGTCCTGGAGTTCTCCTAAGACTATCCCAGCTGCATGAGGAGAGGTAACCTCTATAACCACAAAGGAGAAGAAAAGACTGTTCATGCACAGTATGGGTCTGATTTAAACAGGATGCTGAAGAGGGTCCTGCAGCCCCTGGCTGCTCCTCACCCTCCGGAGCTGAACTCTCCCACAGTAGGGGCTGCTGAGTGGGAGAGGTGAGCTTTCCAAGCCTTCCCTGGGTAATACCCTGCTTAGCTCGTTTCTAGCACAAGAGCAGGGGATGTGGCTGCCCAAGCACGCCCATGTGGACATGTCCTGCAGGTGTTGCAGGGTCTGCCCTGCAGGTGGGAGCTGGCAAGGAGAGCGTGTGGGGATGGGCGCAGCAGCACCTGCCAGGCGTGGGGCAGCCAGAGCGGGCACCAGGGACAAGCTCATGGACAAAACATAAAGGAAACCCTTGGGGTTTCTGCTCTGTGGGGAAAGCCTCCTGCAGCTGAGGGTCCAGGGGCTGGGAGAGCCTTTCTCTGCCTCCTCTGCCTCCCCATCACCATTAAAGTTCCGCTGGGTTGATGCCTGTGTGTTTGATGTGTTTGATCTGTGTTCTGTTTCAGGTGGGGAAGCACAGCTCACTCTGCAGCAGCCCACAGCACAGTGGGGCTCTCACTGCTCAGCTTTGGGGAGCTCAGCCCCACAGCTGGGACCAGCCCCACAGCTGGGACCAGCCCCACAGCTGGGCCCAGCCCCACAGCTGGACCCAGCACCACAGCTGGGCCCAGCCCCACAGCTGGACCCAGCACCACAGCTGGGACCAGCCCCACAGCTGGACCCAGCACCACAGCTGGGACCAGCCCCACAGCTGGGACCAGCCCCACAGCTGGGACCAGCCCCTGCTATCTCAGCCAAGAGGTTCTTTCTTCATGCTGTGACACCTTTAGTTCAAAGAGCCTGACCTGCCTGCACATCCCTGCCAGTACTCACTGCACTACTGTTTGCCTCAATAAAGGGCAGTACTGACAGCTTTAGACAGTCGTATAAACTTTGCTTTAACCTTTAAAATAGTTATTTTGCTTTTCAAACCTTATTTTCTGAGGGTTTTTAAACATGCTGGCCTGGAAGGCATTGCTGTCTTTTCAGACACAATGGTCTTTTCGCCTCTGTGACTGAAAGGAAGAGGGGAGGAGAGGGGAGTGGCTGTTCCTCACTGAACACCGTTCATTGCAAAGACTTTATTCAATATTCATTATTATTCACCACGGGTACAAAGCAGTTCAAAAGGAACAATTTACCCTGTACTGCACATCAAAACAAAACAATGGATCAGAAAGGTAAATGAAACTTCTGAATAACCTTCCCTTAGGAGAGTTCATCTGCAGTAGGAGTGAAACAACGAATTGTGTTGACATCATTTGTAGTGCACAGTATACAAAACTTCAAATGTAATTCTTAATCTGTTAATTCACACCTGGGTTACCTAGATCTTTAAACACTGTATGATTTTTCTGCACTAATCTGGGCAAACCATCAAGAAACTTTGTTTTGAACTATTTTTTGCCTTTCAAAACAAGCAAAAAGAAGAAAAGACTGATACAGCAGCTGATGTTCCAGATCAAATATAAACAAAATAGAAGAAAAATTACTTTTTTGCTAAAAGAAATGCAATATATTATCACATATTATTAGCTTTAGAGAGTGTAAACTCCAAATTGAATCAATCCAAAAGTGTTAGGGATTATTTGTAGGATTTCTCTGGAAAGACACACATCAGTTCTGCTGGCCAGCTGTTGTGGCAGACCTTTGGAATGCTGCATCTCAACACAGCTGGTTTCAGAAAGGAGTTACACAACTTACCCTTTACAGTTTTTGTGAACTTAAAAACATCATGACAGAGCTTGCCTTAAACTGATTAAACTTCACAATTAATGAGTTTTTTCTTTTCAGGCCTGAGAGTTCCTTTTGGTGAGTCTAGAAGTCCCCTGTCAACACCCACAGTTTTGATGTGACTGAAAAATTTTGCCTGCAAATAAAATGGGGATATTGCAGAATCTGGGGTCTTAGTATGAAACTGAGGATATGGTGAGGCTAAGCACAGACTCCTCAGTAAGAAAGTCACTGTGGGGTCAGGAGATGGATGTGGGAGGGGGAAGGCAGACGTGTAATGGGAGGTGAAAGGAGAGGAGAACATATTGTTATAGGGACAGATAAGGTCACCTCTGAGTCTCCTTTTCTCCAGGCTGAGCACCCTCAGCTCCCTCAGTCATTCCTCACAGGGTTTGTGTTCCCAGCCCCTCTCAGGGTTTCTGTTCCTCACAGGGTTTGTGTTCCCAGCCCCTCTCAGGGTTTCTGTTCCTCACAGGGTTTGTGTTCCCAGCCCCTCTCCAGCCTCCTTGCCTCCTCTGGATGTGCTCCAGCATCTCAAGGTCCTTCCCACACGGAGGGGCCAGAGCTGTGCACAGCACTCAGGTGTGGCCCCACCAGTGCTGAGCACAGGGGGACAATGAGCTCCCTGCTCCTCCTGGCCACACCATTCCTGACCCAGGTAGGATGCCCTTGGCCTCCTTGTTGTCCCCATGGGTGACAGGGCTGGCTTTCCAGCACAGGCACATCCCTGCCTACTGCAGATCAAATGGCCACTGTCACCCCCAGGATTCCTGCAGGATCACTCACTCCTCACGTCTCCACCCTGAGGTTTCACCACTCAGAATCCTTCTACCATGGAGCCACAGCAGCCAGGACAACAGTAAATTTTGAGCTCCAGCAAAGCAAATTTTGGAGTCAAGATGAGGGAGGGTCCCCCTGTGCCACCCAGCAGGGCTGCTGCTCTGAGGAGCATGCCCAGGAACTGGACAGAGCATCCCTGCCAGTCAGATCCAGGCTTTTCACACAAAGTGCCCCTTGAAATGCTGCTCTCAGGAGAGTGTGGGGCACACCTGTTGTCAGGGTCCCAGGACAGCCATAGGTTTCAACTACCTCAGTGAGACTCTGCCAAGGACCCCCATCCTGGCACCCCTGTCAGGGGTCTATGGTACCAGTGGAACTGGAGAAGAAGGTAATTAGGCATGATTATGGCAATACACTCAATTGTTGTGGTAGTTTATAAATTTTAAGTACCAGTCAATGTTTCTGCAGCTGATTGGAATGAAGAACAAGAATAATTTACAGCTACCTGTGAATGTGAGATGCTTTTTTTTTTAATGTGAGAATTCCAAGCATAGTTTTTCTCTTGCAATAACCACAGAAAGCACTGTGTGATTAAGGCTTTCCCAGTAATTAGAAAGCTGCATGGAATTACAAAAGTATTTTACATCCACACTTTGCCAAACCGATATAGGCTGTTCAGGGCTGCCAACAAATTCCCCATGTAGTCATAAGGCTTTGTGTGCCCGGGCTGTTCATCCCTCTGCTCAGGCTGCATCTTACTCCTTGGGGTCAGAAGGGAACATGGGATTCCACTGAAAAAGGAGGCTTCTAAGTGAGCACTCACAAAAATGTGTGTGTTTTGGTGGCTATTAAGAGCTGCCTTTTTAGCCTGAAAATTTCCTCACACAATCAGAAGCATGAAAGGCAGGCAAGGAATAGACTCAGATGGTTGATTTAAATATCTTCTGATTTTTTTGGGAGAGATGCTTCGTAACATTTATCAGTTTGATTTCTGATCTCCTTTCTCATGGGGCAAGACTTGCAAGTGCTGTGGAGAAACCCTCCATGCCACCTGGTTACTCAGAAGGCTTCTCAATTGCTTCTGGAAGAGCTAGCTTAGTGTCCCTGTTATCTCCCTTTAAAGGACAGACAGGTTGGGCAGCACAACCTCCGTGGGACAGGGACACGAGCAGCAGCTGAGCCAGAGCCTGCCCTGCCCCAGGCAGCTGCCCTTCCCTGCACATTCTCCTGCCACAGCAC